TTTTTTTTATAGTTTATGACGGTCAAGTCTTACTCTGGAAATATAATCAGACGGTGATTGAAATTAGTGGCTTAACCTGTCACAGATTACAGACGTGCTCATTTGGTATCGCACGCACGCCTCAGTATGTCCAATACATATGAGATTTTCCGACCAGGATAATTCGACAAACCAGAATATCAGTTCTTTTTTATATATGCAAATAATCTTTTACTTTATCAATTTTATATAGCTTATCGTAAAACATGACTTACATGTAAATAAGAACCGGTATATTGGTTTAAGTATGTCCGAATTATCCCGATCGGAAAGCCTCGAAGGGTGAATTTCATACGTAGCAAAGATCCCATATCGATATGATCGACTGGCTTAGCTAAAACCATTTCGATGTTGACTCCTGCCGCGCTTCAACGCACGTGTAACGTATTACGAGATTGAACGAGTATAATCAAGTCAACTCTTTCTATAACTGAACGGTTCTGAAGAAAAAAAAAAAAAAAGATCGTCATTAATTTGAGTTCTTTAATATCCAAGGTCAATTGTAGACAAAAAAAAAAAAAAGTTTACTTTCAACTCATGGCATCAAAAATATTTATAGGAGATATGCCCGAATTAATGAAAATCATTTTTAATAATCTTGAAGAAGAAATTTATTCATTATATTCATGTTCACTTGTAAGTCGACATTGGTGTAATATATCAATTCCTATTCTTTGGAAAGATCCATTTACATTAGCACAAAATCCAACATTTGTATCTAGATATTTTTCATTACTTAATGAAGATGATAGATATATATTAGATGAATATGAAATAGATATAAAATTTCCTAATACACTATTTCATTACGCAAAATTTTTAAAGGTTCTAAATTTATTTGTTTTAGATGATAGAATTGAAGAATTATGTTTAAAGTGGAATAAAAATATTAATTTAAAATATCATATAGCTAATTTATTATTTAAAATATTTATTGAAAGTGGAACAATATTAAATAAATTAGGTTTATATATTTCTGATGATATTTTTAATATTAAACCAGGAATATTTTATTCATTAGGAAAAAATAAACAATTTTTTTCTCGACTTGAGGATTTATCTATAAGAATAGAATATAAGTCATGTATTAAAAATGCTATTGCATTATTTAAACTTTTGGCAAATGATGCTAAAAAAATTAATAATTTAACATTTGATACAGATATACATGAACCACAATTATGTCAAACATTTACATCAATAGTTAAATCACAAGAACAACTTAAGCGATTAAATCTAATAGATATTACTGGATTAGCACTAAGATCTTGTTGTATAATTTCAGCCTTGGAATATCAAAAAAAAGCATTAAAAGAAATTAGAATGGATCGTAGTAAATATAGTCCAGATTTTGAAGTTTTAATGAATTGTGAAAATTTAGAAGTTATTCGTATATTTAATCATAAAGAAGAGATTAAAATATTAAAAACTTTGGGTACAAGTCTTTTTAAAATTAGTACTTTAGAATTATCATCATATTCAATTGATGCATTAGATATTATAGAAATTTTAAAAAAATCAGGTCCATTATTACAACGTTTAAGACTTTATTCAGAAAAAAAAGAAATTTATTCATTATCATCACTTATAGATACACTTGAAAAGTTTTGTCCAAATATTATATATCTTTATATTTTACCTATAAAATTTTCTACAAAATTTTTATCACTTATTAATAATTTACAAAAACTTCAATTTCTTACTTTAAGATGGATAGATGAAGAATCAAAAGAAGAAATGAAATCATGGATTATAAAATTTGCTAAATTATTACCATTAACTTTACAATATCTTAATTTGGGGGATTTATGGATAAATTCACATATAGATACTTTTCTTAATAATTGTAACGTACCTTTAAAAAAATTATTATTAAGTGTTGATTATGATTATGATAAAATAATTGATGCATTAATTGGATTTTGTATAAGAAAAAAATCTTTGAATTATGTATATATTGATATACATAAAAACATTCCTTCATATTCTTCAGATTCCACTTTTTTTACTCAGAAATGGGACAAAGTCAAAAAAGAATTAGAAGAATACGTTAAATTGGTACCATCTCCATTTGGAAGCATTTATGTTTATTGCTAATTGATATTATCTAAGGTAACAAAACTATATATATATTTTTTTACAAAATATACCATAAAAATACTCGGTGGATATATCCTATGTAAAATCGCCGAGTGTTGATTTTTTGCATCGTATTCGGGTATTATGTTTTGCGATGTATGGTATATTGTACATAAGAATATTAATCATATGGGATATTAAACTATCATTATTCTTTGATTTTTTAGATAATAAGTCAGTTCATTTATAAATATCAAATCTTCAAACGTACCAGAAAAATTAATTAATTTAGTTTAGTAATATATGAATGTTGTAGAGTGAAAACCTGTAATTGACCATACTAAAAATCATTAAATCATTAAGTACGGATTTCACTCTGCAGCATTCATATAATATTAGATACCCAAACGGATCAAAATTATCAAATACACACGTGAAATATCATTATAATAGAAAAATCGAGTGTAGTAGAGTCTAAAAAAAAATTGGTAATTTAGATATATAACGAAATATGTATTAACTATTATATTATTTGTAATAATGATAAAAAGTTTATAAATAATTACTGCTTCCAATCATGAACTAAAAATACGGTTCCTTTAATGGTCTTAGTATCTTTATACATTACGCGAGAAAAAAAAAACTTTTATGAATCAGTAAAATAGAATTATAGTGTCGATTCAGTTCATTTGCTAACTTTGATTAATTTTAATTCAAATTTACCGTAATGCAGAGTGCTGCATTCTGTATAACTTATACGCGAGTATAAATTTGAAGTTTCACGCAATGCCATTGAAATATACTTGGTTTTAATTTGAGGTACTATTTTAGGGGGTACAGTAGCTTTTATTTTAAATTTATTTATTTATTTTCCTCGTCAAAAATTCTAGGAATGTAGACCAAGTTGATTCTATAAATCGACTGACTAAGCCGATAGCCAATTTTTTTATTATCGTCAAGGATCACTATCATTGAGATCTACACATGTTTATATTTTATGTTACATTTTTCATATTAAAATATCTCAAAACGGTTTTTTTTTATTGAAAAGATACAAAAGAGATCCGTAAATCGAACATTTTTAAGTTGTTTGTAGTAAAAATAGTAAATAGTTATTACGTAAAGTATTATAAAGATATATGCTATATTATTATGTAAAATTTTTTTATGCCAAACTTTTTGAAACCTTAAAATATAAACGTAATCAATCCAAAGATAATACTCCAAAAACAAATGTTCTTAATTGAATGAATCCATAATTCCGATCCTAAAGAATTATGTAACACATCTTTTTGGTGTGAGATATCTTGTTGACCTTCCGGAGGATCTTTTAATTCAATTGAAAATGGACCATAAATTCCACCTAAAGGAACACTAGAACCAAAAATACCAGATCTAGATATAGTTTCTACTCGAATATAGAAATCTGAAGAGTTTGTAATTCTTGGATGATTTAAGTAAGGTACTTTCCTATTATTTTGAAAAAAAAAACAAAAGGTATAATAATGTTTAAGTAAAATTTCATTAATAAAGGTGATAATTTTCATACCAATCATAGTTATTAGTCATATTTGTTAAGTTCGACGCGATCCTATTGTAAATATCAAATTAGGTTAAATTTTCAAAGATATTCATTAAAAAAATATAAATTATCATGTTATTTTTTATACGTAGTATACATAGTGATTTTACTTACGGCATAGGACCCCAATCGTACATTATCTAAAATGGATTTAAAATTAAAGTAAGAAAGTTATAAATATTTAAAAAGGTTATAATAATAATAATAAAGATAAATAAAATAAATAATGCCAACTTTTCCATTTTGAGAATAATCACGTTTCTTTGCGTCAGGTACAAGTTTTAAACTATTGAATAATAAAATGGCAAAATTTCCAACTATTCGAGCTTCCATTTGACATGGAGATTGATTCCAAGATATTCGTTGTATAGAGTCAGGTTGTATTACTGTTTGATTTGGTGGACCACTTTAAATATCATGATTAATTAATTTGACTATATTGCTAATACAATATATATATATTTCAAACAAAAATAGGGAATTTATGTACCTAACTTCAATGCAAGCCTTTTCTTTCTCTTGCCAAGGAGTTTTTTTAATACTTGGGGTAGCTTTGGCATTACTATTACCATTACCATTAGACTTTGGGGAAGTATTTGGACTTCCCGAAGATGGAGCTTTACTTCCACTGTCAGGTGACTTTGCCGTCTTTGGACTCATTGGTTGGGCAGTTTCCGATGGAAACGATGGTATCGATGGTATCGATGATTTTAGATTTGAATCAGATTCTGGGGAAGCTGACAAGAGTGGAAATGGAAGATCCGATTTTGGAGAATTTGTAAAATCACCATCGCCTGTTGGTGGAGACCCAAACGATGGAATCCCGGCAGGGATGGCCGTCTGAGATAAACAACGAGTTATAAGTGTTATTATTAGAAACAGGAAAATTAGAAGCAAATTCTTTTCAAATAGATGCATATTGGAGATTATGTTGCTATTGTAAATTGGGTAGATAATGAATTGTGTTATAAGAATTATGATTAAAGGACGTAACATATATTAAGAAATTTATTAAGATTTCTTTCTATTTTCACATTTATGTCTTAGCGTGAAATTTATTAAGATTTCTTTCTATTTTCACATTTATGTCTTAGCGTTTATATATAATTTAAAACTTGAATCAGATTGAAACGGTTGATGCCAAGCTTTATTTTAATTTGATCAATTAAAAAAATTCTTCATTCTATTGATATGATCAATGTCATAAATATTTAAGAAAAAAACATGCCTGATTTTTTTGGTTTGATCAAAATAACTATAATAAGCTCTTTTTTTGATATCTATCCTCAAAATTTATCAAAACTGCTTTTTGACAAATTATATTTTTTTCGTTCATGAACGATGAATGAGTACGTACCCTTTTTTTGGTAGTGACAAGGCAGTCACATGATTTCCCGACATTCTGACGTAGCAATATGAATTGTGATTTGGTTTTTTTCATTCACTATTTTTCTTCATCTATATATTTACAAAATAAAAAAAAAACCCAATAAGATTAAACCTTTTATGTAAATAATACAATCAAATATTGAACATATTCAATATTAAAAAAAAACCATGTCCAATAATTATTTATGTAAATTGGTTCTTTCGTGTTAATTTATGGTTTTTATTTTTGAATGTGAATATTTCAGCTATTTAAGTACTTTTTACTTACTGACTTTGCTTCGCAAAAGTTTAGTACATATTTTATAAATGATTAATTGGTGTTGGTTGATTTTTATTTTTATTGCTTTAAAAGATTTTTTCCTTTTGTTTGATATCTTTTTAATCTATTACTTACATTTGAAAATATGTTTGATATCATTAGAAATCAACTTAATTCATGATTTACGATTGTTGATTCGTCAAAAGTTTGTCTTATTCAGTATTTATCTTTGATCAATATTTTTTTAAAAATAACCCGAAGGTTATAGGAAAATCATGTGACCGCGCCCTCGATCTCGATTGACCAAAATCATTATACGTAATACGGTTAATGGGCTTATTCACAGGATTTTGTGGTACGTACATACATGTCTGATATGTACGAACTTGCGTAAGCATGTATGTACGTACGTATATAAGTACGTATGTACGTACCTTTTCTTTTTGTTTCTCTGAAGATGGCGTTTTAACATGTCAACAATAACTGTTTTAGTGACTAGATCAAACGAAAATTAAATTAGATAATTTTCAAGTTTTGTACGTAGTTGACATTAACGAGATGATACAGTATCCTTATTGATCTTTTACCGTTATGCATTTGAACATTTAGGTTTTTCTACAGGAAAAATGGCTCAGTAGGGTTTAATCACATGTAAACACCCTATTACCGCATTGGTATTGGTATACATCTCAACCAGTAATGGTAACGTTAATAGTAACGGTAATAGTAACGGTAACGGTTATCGCAAATCTTAAATGGAAGTTCATTTTTCTGTTTGATAAATTTTTTTAAATTACAACAAACCAATTTATATTATTATGAACAATTCAGATTATATATATATTATAAATAAGTGTGTGAGAGTGAAAACCTGGAAACCGATTTGATGATTTACTATGATTGGTTTGCAGGTTTTCACTCTCACGCACCACGCACTTATATTTAAAAAGAATGATTACATTGTATAACTCTCTAAATGGGTAACAAATATATAGCATCAATACTAATTTTAGCATATTAATAAATTTGAAATTTGAAATTAAAAGCAGCTTATATTTTTTGGCTCAACAAGAGTTTTGAACTAATCCTTTTTTAATAAATTACAATTATTAAGGTAAAATTCACTAACATATGTTTTCAAGGAGGGTAAGAGTTTTTTTTCATTCATTTTACGTACGTACGTACGTACCCTGGTATTAGAAATGTATCGATATTTACTAAATGCTCCAGCCTCATCTTTACACATAAAAGTTTTTATTTAGCGTTAACGTTTTTTTGTGAAGAATGCCAAAAAAAGGATAAATCCGGTGATTCAATCAGAGAATGACGTAAGTTTTGTTTAAAATGTTACTCAAGTACAACATATGTACGCACCTTATAACAGATAAAGTGGTTCGTGATACGTAAAGATCCGTATTCCGTCAATCAACGCAGTGAGAGAACAAAAGAAAAAATATAATCAATGTGATCGTGTGAACAAATTCAGTCATCAACTATTTCCGAATAAGTAATGCCTAATAGTACACAATTATATATATATATAATATTGTTCGAAAATTTTTACTCACCCATTTTTTTTATCTCATTTCTCACGCAACAAAATTAACACTTGCTACAATTAACAAACTCATTTGCTCAAAAATCTAAAAAGAAATTGTAAATATATATACCCATATTTTTGTTCACGACCTTATAAAACAATGATCGGTCAGAAATTGGTTTTACGTTTTACACCAAAGAACTTTGCTTTATTGTAACTATCGAATTTTATCATATTTTATCAAATTTCATATTTATTTTCAGTACAAAATTTCTAATTATTTCATCTATATTTTTTAGGCTTTCAGTTCCAGTATTAGGTGGTCTTGCTTACACCTTATCCAAAAACAGATTTAATTCTGTGGCAGATGATAGCTTTGATTTCGCAGATTCTCGCGATATCGATGCTCTGCGTATGGAATGGAAGAAACGCAATAATGGTTTTGGACTAAGAGATGTTAATCGATCTTGTGGTGGGGTTTAGGTTATGATTTGTATATTAAAGGAATGGTTTATAAATATGGTTTATAAAATATGGTTTATAAATATGTTTCACTGATTCTTCATGCATGAATCGCGAAGAACACTAATTTGATTATATAATTTTATTAGTTTATCGCGACATCTAAAATATTGGCATTAATACGTACATTTGTACGTACGTATGATAATTATTTATAGCTAATAATTGACTACGTATATAGTTGATATGTATTAGTTGATATGTACGTATTAGTTGAACTAGCATAGTTAATCCATTTGCATAATAAAATTCGCAATCAACGTAGTACACAAGCTTATCTTGAATACGATACCGTTTCAATTTTAATTTGTGCAGTCTACAATTTGTTAGTTGTGCATTATCAATATCGAGAACTGTTACACGATATAGTGAAGTTAGTTTGGTATTACAATAAAAGAAAACATCGTTATCGTTATACGTACGACTTGAGTATGCATATGCATACGTACTATGTATTCTTCATAATTGGAAATCATAATTAACTTCTTAACTAGCATTCCATAAAAATTAATTTTAATTAACTTTCTAAATTTAATCTTGGCGGAAATATGAAAAGAGAGTTCCGAATTCATACCTTTCTTTCCGCCTCCGCTTATAAACATATAACTACTTTTATATTATGAAACTTGTGGAAAAATTTTTATCCTGAATCAGTTACTAAAAATGTACATACGTGTATCTGTACATAGCAAAATAGTTGTAGAATTAGTAAAAAGACTAGACGTACTCGATTGAAATGTGTTACCACTCTTTTGTTTAAACTTTTCATAAAAGGAAAACAACTCACAGGACGTACGTAGGACGTAGTGCGCCGGTTAAAAAAATTAAATTATGAGCGCGCTTAAATCAAGATAGAAAATAATTTTACCTGCAAGGATAGAGTACTTAGTATAATAAATTTTACATTTTACTTATTCATAAAGTTTTTCCTTTTACTTGCATAAAGATATTAAAGCCATTAAAAGAATCATATCTTTAGTTCACTATTTTGGAAGTCGTAATTATTTAACATGGTTACAATTAATATAATAGTAAAAATATTTTAAAAGTGAATCTTTCTATAAGTGCATACTTTAACTTGGTCTTAAACTTGAAAAAATGTTACTCCTAATTTTTGCATATGCATAAGTTTCTGAGATTCAGAAAATATATGTCGTACGTACGTTGGAATGGAATGATAGTATATTGATATAGATTTAGAATGCATTAAAGATAATCTTGAAATTCGATCAAGTATAGCGATAGAGTATTGCAAAAAAAACGAAAGTGAAATAAGAAAACGAAAGTAATACTTTATCTTGACAATTTATCATACGATATGATGTAATTTATTTAACTATCGTTACGTTACGTTAATCGATTACTCCAACCTGAGTGGATTTGGGTTAGGTAAGAGTGTTCATATGATGAAATCAACCCCAAATGCTGATTTTATAAACATCTAGTTTGATATGCCTTTTGTTTATGGTGATTAAATGTATTTTCAAATCAAGATCCAAATTTCAGCATCAGCTGCGACAATACATATTAAATAACAAACTTAATATCTTCTCTAAATGCATACATTATATTGATATTAATTAATATTGTTGTTTGCATAATATTGCACTAGTTATGTGAAAATTATCAAATTATTATGTATAAGTGATTGCTCATATCTCAAGTTTTGGACACGCTCTCTATATCCTTATATAGAGATCGTATGTTGGCTACACAATAACTCATTGAAAATATATTTCTTTAGTCTTTGTATAGAAATAATACACCAAAAACAAAATATACTTAACGTTAAAAGCAGAGCATATGTATACTCCTAAACACTTAAACACTTGATCAAGTCAGATATCAAAACAATCATAGATAAAGGACGTTCTCAAGTATTTTTTTCAATGGACTCAACAAAGAACCTGATTCGTTGATTTCATCTAATTCATTGAGAGTGGTGTCGCAAGAGCTTTTAATGAAGAATGGATTCGTGTGGATGGAAAGGAACGTGGAAGATTATTAAATAAACTTGCTAGTTTAATTGAAGCGATGCTAATTAATTAGCTACCCTTGAAGCTTTAGATAATGGTAAAGCTCTTACGATGGCAAAGTCTGTAGATCTTTCTATTGCAATTGATGTTTATAGATACTTCCCCAATGGTGTGATAAGATCCGTAGTAAGGTAATTGGATTTTATCTTACTAGGTTTTAATTGAATGTCGCTTAGCTTTAAACTTGCTTGGTATTTTATCTATTTAATTTTACCCTAACTAAAATTAGTGTGGATTAAAGATATGCTTAAAAGTCTGGCGTAACTTTAAGCAATTCTAACCCAAATTGTAGTGGTTTGTGGAATAGTTTATTAACAACAACCCTACCCCTGGATTTAACCCCTATCCCATGGATTTAGTATGTCTGAATAAGATCGGGTGTAGCGTAACACGATCAGGAAAATTAATTCGTTTTGTCAAAACGCTTATTTCTCAAAATCTGTAGAAGAAACCACCTTTAGTATTCTAAAAAAAGGTTTCCTTGATCGATTTTACTTATAACCCTAACATTAACGAACTTTGCTGTGCCACACATTTCAGATATGCTTGGAGTTATTAGATTTAAACCGTATATATTTATATATGTTGTAGGTAGAAACGGAATTTAAGTGGAGTCGGAATTTTTATATAAAACCCGCATTTTGGGGTTGGTTTTGTCATATATACACTCTAACCCTAACCCCAATTTAAATAGGAAATTCCAAATCCACTTAAATTCTATTTCCACTAGAATGTCCAGAAATCTGCGGTGGCAGAATCCGCGCAGAATTCTGCTTTTGGCGCAGTTCTGCCTGCTCAAGCAGGAAAAGCTGAAAAATCTGCTTGAGCAGAATCCGCAGAATGTTTCTAATAAATGATTGATAAATCAAATTTACTATAGTAAAATTGGAAGTCAATATTAACCTCCCTTGACGTTTTTACATTGTTAAAGTTTTAAATATTTAATCAAAAAAAGAACGTTTGAATTTTTTTTTTAAAAAAAATGATTACCGCAAGCGATCAAATAGAAGGGCCATATTCTACACCTGAATATCAACGAGAATTTTATGTTGATGGCACTTCATTAATATGCCGTGCTTGTTGTGTAGTTGTAAATTACAAAAAAAATCCGTACTTGATGATCATCTTATTTCGTCTAAACATAGAATTGCAAAAGAAAATAATGATGTTACTACAACAAATAATTTTGCACAAAATACTACTACTATATAAATATCTGAAAGAGAGCAAATAAATCTAGATCATGTTCAGGTTTTAACAATCACAGATATATCTCTTGAAAAAGTAGATAAATTAAAAGAATTTTTTATAAAATATTGCAAATTAGGTAAATATATTTATTATTAATTTATAAATATATAAACCAATATTATTAAAATTAATTAATTTATTTATTTTTTTAGGCAGTTCTATTGTTGGTTCTAACCAGCTTAAAGAAAAATATTTATTAATATTATACAGATTAGAATTAAATAAACCGAAAGAAATTTTAGTAAATCAACAAATTTGATTACTGTAGATAAAACAATGAATGCTTGTAGTAGAGCAGTTATTAATATCCTTTTTAGTTTTAAAAATAAAACAAAATTAGTTATGATAAAACATCTAAAAAAAGTTAACAGTATGATTATTTCACAAGTTGTTATGTCAACAATTCAATCATATAATATTCTATATAAAAATCTTAAATTTTATATTTTTGATAATACAATTTATATGTTAAAATCATTTCAAATATTAAAACCTTTTTTTAAAAAATTATATTATAATATATATGTGCTTGACTTATATTTATAATTTAATTAGTAAAACATAAATAATTATTATTAATTTAAATTAGTAGATATTATTGTTTTACTTATAAAAGCTTCTTTTATTTATTGTTTAGCTTGTAAATGCAGATAGATTAGTCATCTTTCTTTTAATGCTGTTATTATATTATTATTTTCACTTTATTTTAATTCAAATTTAGACTTAATTAATAATAATAATCAAGATGAAAATATTATTTTAATAATTCTGTCACCTTTATCTGTTAAAATCAAATAAAATTTTTGATTTAAATTTATTTTTTAAATTAATTAAAATATCTTTTTTCTTATTATTTTTTATAAATAAGAAATTAATATTGATGATAGTAGTGCTATAATTAAAGAATTAGTTTAATTTTTTAATAATAATGAGCTAATTTTTAAATTCAAAATTCTAATATTATTTATTACATCAAATACATAAAGGTATGATTATTTATTAATATTAATAAAATTATAATTACATAATATATATTTATTAAAATAAATTTTTATTAGACAAAAAAAAATAAAGACAAATTCAAAGAACAATTATAAACAAATATATAGATTTAAAAACATTATAAATGATTAGATTTATATAATAGAAAAAAACCTGGTAGATTAATTTTTTCTCAAATTTGACAAGTTAAAAATGTTTTTTTTTATTTTCCTTAATTTACTTGGTAATGGATTTAGAATTTTTTATGATTAGAAATAAATCTGTTGTACTATATATAATTACAAAAATTGAATTAACTTTTGTAGAATTGAAAAATAGAACACAGGATTTACCAATAATTAAAAAAATAATTAAAAAATATAAATTGAATAGAATTAATATAAATAACTACAAACAAATTTTTCAAGAAGATTATAATTTGACTTAGATTAAATTTAAAAAACTTCTTGATAGACATAATACATTTTCTCTTTTTAGAACAATTAGATGTTTTAATCTGAAATACATATAAGCACAAAATAATAAACATAGTTTAGATAGTTATAAAGAAATTGACAAATTTATAGCACCTTCAAATAATTTGATTATTGAATAGAAAATATATTATAAATTATAGGAAATTTTCAATATAAATTTAATTTAAATAATTATTGAATAAAAAAAAATACATTATCAATTTTGTTTGAAATAATATTAATTTATATTTGGTTATTTGTTTTAGGTATGAATGTTGAATATAGTTTTTTAGCCTACAAAAATATTCTTGATAACTATAAAAGATGTCTTTTAGAAAACTTTATTGTGATGTTAAATTTTTTATATTATAATGTTGAATAAAATTTTTGTTATAATTTATCATATAATATTTTAAAAACAAAACTTTAAATAATTATCTACAAATATTTTTATTTTAATTTTTTAAATAATTTAAATATATGTTTATAAATAGATATTAAAATTTTAAATTATTTTAAATTTTAAAATATTATTTTATATCATTGTAAAATCTGCAAAATTAATGATAATCACAACAGAAGTTTATTATTAGAGTAGCAGAATTTTGAACTTTCTAATTTCTACTTATCTAATTAAAAAAAATTAATTACATCTATTGCATTTGTCACATTTATTGTATACAACTAATCAATTATATATGACATATATATTGAATGTAGCAGATAGCAGCAATTGAGTAGAAGAAAAATATTAGTAGAATATGATTGATTAATAGTATCAGTAATATTAGTTATATCTATTACATAATGTAAATAAAAGATTTTAATTATAAATAAAGACTAAAAAGGTTCTTTAGAAAAAACAACTTTCTTTTTGTTAACAAATACATAATATATTTAACATATAATTATCTATAAAACTATTTGTTAATAATAATAAACAGACATCTTTATTTAAAACATAATTATTATTACTATATAAACTATACTTAACAAAGATGGAGTTCTGTAGTCTAGTAGTCTAGGCATCCCTCCTTCTATAGACAAGATCAATAGTTTAATTCCAGCTGAGGTAAAAACTTTGTAATCTATAGAAGCATATAAATGTATGTGAAGTTCTGTAGCCAAGTCTATATGATTAGAAGATCAGTATATAAGAAAGTTCTTAAAAAGATGTTTTCTGATATGAAGAATTGATGCTCGATATGAGAAAAGCAGGGAATATATCAGAAATAAAGAGAAGGTGCACTAGTGAGTAATACAGTAAACATAAAAGGAAACTATGAAAAAGAAATAGACTTACTGAAATTTGAATACTTATAACATCAAACTGGTTCTAGTAGATACAAAATCTACTAAATTGGATAAATCTAAGAGGTAATCTTGGTACTATACTTAGTAAGTCTGCATTGAGAGTAAATTTAAAGAACTATAGATACCTGATAACATTCAATGTAGTGGTACCTTGATATAAATAATAATTAGATAGTACTAACCTAATATGTTCATATAGTAATATAAGTATTGCATATATGCAATAGAATTGAAACTAAAAAGTTTAAATAGGAGATTCACAGATAGATCTTAGGTATAACAGCTAGTAGGTAACCCTTAGGTAGAATCCTTAATTAGATAATAACTAAAGTTATATATATGACTAGTTATACTTTCATTAATAAACTTTGTATATAATTATATAATGATATATTACTCAATAAAAACAGACAAACAAGATTGTTACTTTAATACAAAAAAAATAAAAATAAACTATTCTCAACTTATAAGTACTAATATACACTAATACATCTGACTAAAATAATCTGAAACCCTTTTATTAGTAGAATCTAATCATTTTTTAAACAAACTACTCAACAAATCTAATACATTCTTTTAATCAAATTTATACTCTCTAAAGATTACATAAAAGATCCAACCAATTAGCAACTGACTTGCTGTTTTATGTTTACAACTTATATAATAAAATTAACTACAAAATGCTGCTTTAATATCAAATTTATCTAAAGTTTGTTTTTACTTACAATATATATAGTATATAAGGTAAGTGTAGATATTATATTGAAGTTAACATTATATACTAGTAAAAGTATAACAAAGTTTTATTTTTAGGGTTTTTTAAAAAAATTTATATAGATTCTAATCTGCTTTACAATTATTTTATAAAAAATCATATTTATATAAATTATATTAATATTACTTGAAGGTTATAATTTTATTTATATAGAAGGCCAAGATAATGACAGTCAAACCCAATATACAGGACAGACTATGGTACCTTGCACAGCTGTGAGAGCTAGGCATATGGTGATCAACCCTGTAGAAAACAATTTTGAAAAATCATTTACAACAACTTAATCCCCTATAATTTTTATACATGTTTTAACAAATTCTTTCTTCATTACTACTTACCACTTCTTCCTCATAGTCAAACTATTCAAACCATAATTCAACATATCGACAAATATAACAATAACAAAACCGTATCTAGTATCACATTCTCTGTTAATTTATCTTATAATGAAACCTACATATATCTCCCCAAAGACACTCTTTTACCAGATCATATTGTTATTGTCCCTTATCTTCTTTCTATATTCTATAATCTTTCTCTCAGATCTAACTTCTTTAATCCTACTTCTATTCTATCTGAGTTATTCTTCAACACTCATTCTTCAACTTCTAATTGTAATTCTTCTTTACCTTCTTTATTCAATCTAACTATTGCTACACACAATGTTAGAGGATTCAATGAACCTACTAAAAGAGAAGCATGGCAAGATTATTGCCTCAACCATAACATATCTATTGCTAGCATTACAGAAACCAAAATCTCTGACAAAACTAATTTTTTCTTTTGTAATAATAATTTTTTTACCTATTATTAGTCTAACTCTCCTACTTCTATTGAAGGTATTACTATTATGATTTGCAACAATCTCAAACCTCACATCCATAGCATCCATACCCATCCTGGAGATGCTATAGCACTTGATATTTTCTTTTGAAGTAATATCAAGTTGCATATTATCTTAGTTTATCTATCATCAACTGACATTACTACAATCGATACTGTCTAAATGCATACTATCCGTTAGACGAGTTTTTATGCATTTAGACAGTATATGCATTAAGACAGTAAGCATATTTTGTGTAACATAATGATTAGCCAATCAGATGTGGCCTAATATACTACTCTAATTATATCAATATATATTTTTTTAATATAAAAACATTGATATAATTTAGTTGTAATTGTGTATTATTGTTATGAACTTATCGATTAGAGTGTCTAGAATACTCTAACTAAATTCGCCAAGTGAAAAACCAGATATTCTATATTTAAAATTCTCTTGGTAACACTCAAATGTTAAATTCGATCGATCATGTAACAGGATAACAATTAAATAGTACAATATTGACAAAATTGGAGTAATTATGCATGCAAAGCCAATTTATATTGTATTGTAAAAAATCAGGCATGATAAAATTAACATAGCAATAACAATAGTAAATGGTAGTCAGTGATAGTTAATGATAGTTAACATTAAATTCGTATAAAATAGAATAGGAAATTAGTAATGCATACGTAAATCGTAATTCTTTCTTTTCCAATAAAATAAATAAGTAAAATACGTATCTTGTTGCCATAATAAGCATTGAATGTGGTGTTAGTAAAGTGTGAATAAATAAAATTACACAATATAAGACAATAGAAACCTTAACTATGCCATGTTTTTTTTTTTACTGAATATTCGAAATATTGAGTAACAGAACAGTATAGATGGATATTGGTTTTGAAAAAAACCTGGTTAATGTCTAGCATAAAAATGGCATTTCATCATATGCTATATACGTCTCCACAATGATAATACAAAGGTTTAAAAAAAAAAAAAAAAAAAAAAAATTCATTCATGTCTTCAAAAATCAGTTTAACTAATGACCAGTGCAAAAAAATTTGTATACAAAAACAAAATAATTCAACTATGACACAAGAAGAGCTTGCAAAATAGGCAAAAGAAAAGTTTGATCTTGATAACGCTCTCAACCAAGCAACACTTTCACAAATCCTTGCCAAAAAGAATGAGTATCTTAAGCTTGATGATGAGAAAGATTTTAGAATCAAACGTCACTGAACAGTACTCCAACCTCAACTAGATGAGGCATTAGCAAACTGAGTTTTGTAATGTCAAGCAAGAAAAATTTGGTTGACTGGGGAGTTAATACATAAAAAAAAACGTAAATTGGCTAAACAAATTGGTCTTGACCTCTAAGATTGCAATACACCTGATTTTTCTGTTAGTTGGCTGCTCTCATTTGAGCAACATTATAATTTTAAAATGCATAAAATACATGAAGAAAGTGGGTCTGCTGATAATGAAGCAATCAAAAAAAGCTTGCCTGAACTACATGAGACTATTAAACAATATGCTGCAAGTGATGTTTATAATATGAACGAAACTGGTCTGCTTTACAGAATGGCTCTGAACAAAACAATCGTTAAAAGACAAATTGAAGGGAGCAAAAAAAATAAAACGCATCTTACCCTTGCTTTTACTGCCAATTCAGATGGCTCTCATATATTAGAATCTTTTATTATTGGTCACTCAAATAAACCAAAATCATTTAAAGGTAAAACTGAAAAGCAGCTTGGTTTTTATTACTGCTATAATAAGAAAGTCTGAATGACTGAATTACTTTTTCAAGAATGAATTGTAAACTTTAACTGTATGATGGAAGATGCAAATCAATACATTCTTCTTCTTATTGATAGTGCCACTTCACATGTAATTGGTGATGTAAATCTTACTCATATAAAGGTTGTTATTTTACCTCCAAGAACTACCTCAAAGCTTCAACCAATGGATGCAGGCATTATTGCTGCCTTCAAACATCAATATTGTTGTTTTTTATTGCAACATGCTATTGACCGTGATGAGGCTGGGGAATCTGATATCTATAAAGTCGACCAACTAAAGGCAATGCAATGATGTATTCGAGCTTGGAATTCAATTCCTCCAAAAACTATTACAAATTGTTTTCACCATACTGGCTTGTTTGATTATAAAATAACTACTGCTATTCATGAAGTCCATCCAAATGATAAGGATTTATCTGTTCTCACAGAGTTGGAAGAATCACTCCAAATATTGTCCCCCTGCCACCCTATAAGCATTGCACATTATATAAATCCATCAGAAGAAACAGACATAGTACATTAAGAATTTACAGATGCTGACTTACTAGCATCAACAACCCTAGAAAATAATGATACTGATAGTATAAATGAAAGTAATTCTTCTTTTATTACTCCTTCAAACCCTGTTAGACTCGATGCTATTCGTACTGTAATCAGTCTTCTTGATACAACTATTTCTGATCACAATACTGTGCTTAGAACATTGCATTTATTACAACAAGAAATTCAACTTCAAGTCTTCTCCTCCAAGATTCAAACAACATTAGATAGTTTTATTCAAGTAGAATACCAGGTAAGAGTTTATTCAATTGCTTTTACAGGTTTGCTTTTCATTGCTGATTTTTTGATTTTATATTAGTAGGTATAGGTCAAAAGAGCATAATAAATAGGTTCTTATTTTTATTTATACAATGCATACAAATAAGATCTTTTATCTGACAAACTCATATGATCATGAAAAAATTTCTTTTGGTTATTTTTTTCATGTGTTATGATAATCATATTTATTCAAATTAAAACTCAGCAAGCAACTCTCTACCAAACATGATCATAAATTGCTGAATAACACCATCATTGGACATATTTTCAAATAAGGTAATTTAACAAATAATTGGCTACATGTGCCGCAAAGCAGCATATGCTCATTTGCCAAATTACCATTATTCGACAATTTTTGTCCAATAAAGTATACTTATATTAGAATCGTTCTTATTTTTTTAATCATTTATATAATACACACAAATAGGATATTTACATCAGAGCCTTTATGCCATTGCTTGAATGAAATAGTAAAAAAATTAGAATTATTATCTTATATCACATTTGACCTTTAATTAATTTATTAACATGATATTATTCATTGTAATTTACTTGGTGATAGTATATTACAAAATAATTTACAGTATAACTCTATTGCTTAGAAAAACTTCTATGTTTATTTGGTCTCTGTTTATCAAAGCAGTTATATAGTATCATATGTTGTAAGTAGTAAATTTTAAAAGGCAATATAATAAATTATATTATTAAATGTTGCGTCTTTTCATTATGGCACATTTATAAAATACCCTATTAATATAACATTGATCTTTAACTGTGCTGGTTACTATTACCGAGTGAGGATACATTATTATACGTGAAATTCTGTCTATTAGAATGTGATAAAATAGGTTAGATAGTAGAAAAGATAGGTTAAATGTATTATCATATAGATCAGACATTCAAAATTATTTTGGAAGTTTAGCATTCATTGATTAATATGTAATTTGGTTATTTAATTTTAAATCTGGGTGTCTGAATTTCAGATTAATTTGGCAAATGTAATATGTTTAGACAATTCATATATTATAATATATTATGCAATTAGGTCTATTTACCTATAGATTTTTTTTATGCATTATGCAAATAGAGGGTTTATGCATTTATAATTAATAACTAGGTTGGAAAATAAAAATAGCATGCAGTTAAGCAGTATATGCATTTAGACAGTATGCATTTAGACAGTATTGACTGTACTTGTAACCAAACTCAAAATACTGTCATTAACTGAATCTAACAAGCCTCTTAACTTCACATTCACCCTATTATTTTTGGTGATTTTAATACACAAGATAATACTCAAAGCTCCTCTTCTAAATACAAACTCATTAATTTTCTTAACAATACCAATATGTATAATATTGGAGCCCACTTCAACAACAAACATTTTATCTGGTCTAACAATACTAGTAGTAGTCATATTGACTACATTTGGACTGATCAATTCAATATATAATTCTTTCTTTTCTATAGTCTTGACAACAGTCAAACCTCAACTTCTAGTGACCATCTAATTCTTACCTTTACATAAACATTTCCTCATGCCTATAGCAAACCTTTATGAAAACATACCAGTATCAGTTGGTATATCTTTAACTACAAAGTTATGTCTACAAAGAACTGGGAGTCCTTTGCAGACACTTTATCTCAACAACTCTTACAACACAAAACTCCTACTAATAATGCAACTAATAAAGCATTGAAACAACTTGGCACAAAATACAATGCTCAATTATCTACTCTGCTACTCACACTATTTCTAATAAAGTCTTTTGCAAATGTAGTTATAATCATCAATATTCACCTCACAGTACTCTGTTATATTTATCTCTTAAAAAACTTGGTCATATTATTAAACTTGTTAAAAAACTCACACAATACTCTGACATCTTCAACATCAATCAAAATATCTCCTAAATTAATAAACAGTCACAATGTGACCTTCAATTACTTAACTCCATCAACTTATCTTGTACTCAACCATGGCTCCAACATGCTCACTCTATTTGGAAACAACTCTTTCATGCTCGTTACCTTGAAAACTCTCTTCTACTTCGACAACAAATCAACAAAGCCACTGACAAAAGATGTGTTACTCTTATATCACATCCTACACAAGCTATCAATAGCATCCTTAACCGCTATTATCAACCTATTCATTTCTCCAATATAAAATTGCCTAATAAGCTTATAACTGACCCATTATTCATTAAACAGCATGTTCAATCACATTTCCATAACTGGACTGCATTTAGACCTATTAATCAAACTCTTTTTGATAATTTTTGGCAACAGCATTATCTCCCACTCCTTTATATCAATCCAACTTGGTACCAATCCCTAAACTTACCTATTACAAATGAAGAATTCTCTCTAACTCTTTCTCAGCTTTCTAACAATAAAGCCTGTAGTCCTATAGGCATTAGTTATGAAATGCTCAAATATATTAGCCCTGAATGCACTTCTGCTATTATCAGTCTCTTTAACCATTGCCTTCTTAAGAATAGAATTCCTAAGCAATAGAAACATAGCAGAATTTACCCTATTCCTAAATGTAACTCCTTTGATGGTGATCTTAATCTTACTCGACCTATTAGTCTTGTCAAACATATTTGCAAACTATATACCAAAATTCTTACAAACAGACTAAGCACCATATTTTCTTCTAATCCTATTCTCTC